TTGTTTTCAGCTAATTTGACTTAAAATCTTTTAAATTAAGTGCTCAAATTGTGACATTCATCTTGAAAATTATATTTAGAAGACATTTCTTAAATTGTTCACTCCTGCATTTCGGGAATGATGCGATTTAGTCGTCAAGTTTCTTCGGGCAAAAAATACCTGGAGCTAATTTCTCTACCAGGCCTTGCTGGTGTTTGCACCAGGCTCTGCTTTCGTGGTATGGTGGTGACACCAAAAAATTGGAGATGCGTGAAAACCTTGCATTTGGTACGCTGCTGCCGATTGTGATGCATTTTGCAAACAAACCAAACTTGATGCGCGCAAGCGGCTGGAGTCGCTGGGGGGTCTTGGGCTTGAGGGTACCTGGCGACCTTGCTCTGTGCATACATAGACATGATTCAGATTTAGGTGAGGCAGGACATAGCCATAGGTGTTCAGGTTCCTTTCCTAGGTTCCTGGGAGCCTTGTTTACGCTTGGTGGCTTCAAGTGAGGTCGATTTTGTGTGACATCTGAAAACCTCAGAAAAGGAAATATGTGTTTGGCATATGCGATTAGACAACGTCAGGCAGGAGCGAAAAATTTACATAAAATATGGGGAAAAGGAGTGGAAAATTCCTCCTCATAAGATGTTGCTTTACACCCAAAGCCGGCAATTCTAGGACACTGCATTCTATCATTCTGGAGACATTCGCATAAGGTAGTCGGTGCTTCCCCTTCGAATGGAGGGCCCTACGCTCTAGTTGGAAGCCTTATTTGTTAACCTGCACGGGCACACTCGATCGTTCGGGAGCGCTCTCCACTCGGTTTTGCGTACTTCCTATTTGAATGGAGGGCCCAACGCCCTTGACGGGGGCCCTTTATGTTAACCTGCTTTGACGCACTGGATTATTCGGGGGTCCTCTGCATTGGGTCTTGAATGTTTTCTATATGAACGGAGTGCCCTACGCTCTTTTTGGGAACCTTATCTGTTAACCTGCTCGGGCACACCTTATCATTCGGGGGCCCTCTATATTGGGTCTTGGGTACTTCCTATTTCAATGGAGGGCCTTACGCTCTTGACGTTAGAGCCCTACCATTGTGTCGTGAGCATTTCTTTTTAGAATGAATGTTCCTTTGTTCTTGGCGGAGCCCATCTATTGAGCTGTTCGGGCAGTTGGTGGATGCAGAGGGGGGGGGGGGGGGGAGGGGAGGCACGGGACCATGCCCCATGAAACATGCCGAGGGGAGCTAAAGGATCCAAAGGGGCCCGTAACCGTCCGTCCGGACGCAGTTTTCTTACAACAAAAAAAACAACAAAATTGGAGGCCTTAGGGCCTATAGACGACCAAGAACAATTGGTAGCAAAAGTAAAGAGTTCATAAGCAGACCAAGCTTATTTTTTGCTGATTGAGAAAGTGCTTCCTTGGGGGAAATTTTGGAGCTCGTCACGCTGTCTACAGCCATTGTGCTGTTGGTTTCCTGGCCCTACATGTCCACTTACCGGGGCAATCTGATCGCTAAGGAGCTTTCCACGCTGTCCTTGATCTTTTTGCATTTTCTCGTAGGGCCCAATGTGCTGTTCGGACGCTATCAGCCTCCATGCCTGAGCACTGTTGATCGATCAGGTTTTCCTCTGCGGATTCTCATCATTCGCCCGAAAGGCTCCTTATGCTTTTTCCAGGACCGATATATCAGGGTACACAAGGTTGCTCAGGGGCCTTTCGTTTAAGCCGCGGGCTCTTCTTGCTTGCTTGGAGGGTCTTGTGTTGCTGCTAGGGCTTTTATAAGGTAAAGCATGGAGACACTCGATGCTCAGGGGTCATCTACTTTGATCGAGGCTCTCTCTCTCTCTCTCTCTCTCTCTTTGGTCTCATTTGCGGAGGACTCTTCACTCCTATCAAGGCTCGTGTTATTAACCCGCCCGCGCACTCTTGATCGCACAGGGGTAGTAATTCACGGTCTTAAATAACTCCCCTTCGCTTGGAGGGTTCTGTGCTCTGGCCGGGGTTTTACATGTCAGACTGCCGAGGCACTAAAGGTCGTTCATGGCCCCCCACGCTGGCCTTGAGTTCTTTTTGCCTTGCTCTGAGAACTCTATACTTGTTGACGGGAGCCATTTTGTTGGTCTCCTGGGGCACCCATGATCGCCCAGGTTTCGTCCCTATTGGCCTTGGTGTTTTCGCCTCAGAGCAGCGGCAACGTAAGCTAGAAATCAAGTTCATACCTGGTTTTGATAGTTGTTGGCAGCTATCTCTAGTTTATTTTGCCTGTTGTTCCGAAACACTTAGTGATAATGATTCGGGAATTACATCTCACCGGCTGCCAGGGGCATTTCGAGACGAATGTTTTTTTTATAACGCATCATGTGGCATGCGATGGTGGCGTGGCCGGGGCGCGATCCACCCAGACCGACGGGCCCAAAATCGAGGCCCTAACCATTAGGCCACCACCAGCCCGGACCTAAATCTTATTCAGACGGGACGCTCTTGATCGCTCCGGGGATTTTGTACTACTTCGTAGCAGTCAAAGCAAAAACTCTGCATAAGTCAGCAGTCTGAGTCTCTCATAAGCAGCAGTCTCTCATAAGTCAGCCTGATCACGTCGACTATTCGGCCAGCCGTAGATAAGCTGAGAATCCAGTTCGTGCGCCTATTCGATGATATTTAGCAGCCAGCTTAGTGTACTTTATCACACTTTCCCCGAAATACTTAGGCCCCAAAATGACAGAACCCAGCATGATCTGGAGAAAATGAACAAGTTCAATGCATTTGCATACGTAGCATGCCTATGTTTTTTTTTTTTAGGGCTGCGCTCAGTAAGATGGCTCACCGTATACAACATGACAGATACAAGAATCTTGAAAATTAAGTCACCAGAATACGAGAATTTTTGGACGGGGTCCCGAACTTTAGGGGCCTTACAATGTTAGGTGCACTGCCCCTTGACGAAATGGATCCGCCCCTGACCTTATGTGATCGCAAAACATTTCATCATTATAAGAAATAATGTTTTAACTTCAACTTGTCAACATTTTTAGAGGGGATATAGCCATGTTAGCTATGGGAGACTTCTGTGAAGTAGTTTGCATATTGATGCAAGAATATTCTTGCCAACAGTTAAGTGACGGTAAAAGCTTAGAATTTATGGTACGGCAGTTATCATTTGCCGTCCGTCTGGTGGTGACCGCCACGTGACGGCAAGCGCCCAAGTCCCACCATTGACTCGCCGGCTATTATCAGGTTGACATGATTTTGTGCCCTCGTGACGTCACCGTACAATCTACTGGAAGTGTTAGCAAGCTCCACTACAATCAGCTGACAGCTCCACCACCGATTCCTACGCTCGGTTGCGTAACCTGCGTGCGTGTGTTGCGGGCGTGGGGGATTGCCATTTACTTGCGTTGTATGGAACATAGAGATATATGAAGGTGTTGTAGAAATTCATGAATGTATGGCGCACGTATTGGTAATATTGGGTGAGGCCTTTTGTCTTAGTTGCTTTCGTTGTAGTAGTCAGCCAACTGCTTTGATGGGTTTGCTTATAACTCAATTGATCTCGCGCCTTGCTGGGCTCGTTGAAAAACCCTCGTAAAAGTAGAATGACTTCATTTTCGTCAATAAGCACACGTATCATGGTCCACAAAACCATGGGTTAAATAATTTTGTATGCTTAGGTGAGACGATAGGATTAGCCTTAGTTTCTTAGAGAAAAACCAGGAGAATGGAGATGGAAAAAGTTGGGTTACCCAACCCAGCTATATCTCCTGGGTTATCTCCTATATTCTCCTAGTTTTTCTCTGAGGAATAAGGCTAAATTACTGTCTTATCTATATAAATGTCTGTCTTATCTATGTAAATAATGTTCCTTGCCTAATGCACCAAAGAACGCATGGGATTTTGCATCCTTTGCATGCTATAGGCAGGCTCAACAAACACATTTGTATGCCATGGATCAGAATGCTGGACCATTCAACACAGCCACAGCATACTTTAATAGTCATCACAGGGTTTCCTGACCATGCCATTTGGTTTTTCTCCATAGGTTGCTCTCTTTGCACTTACCTAATGTTGAACATTGCCTTGTTCTTGGCAGTTTGTGCTTGCATTCACTTTAATTCATTGGGTGTGCAATTAAACAATAACTATTGAATAACCCATATTTGTATTGCCTTCACAGGTCCATGATTTTTTACCAAGAAGGTTGTGGAGCAGTCAAGAATGCTTATGTGTGGTGATGCACCGATTACATGGGATCTGTTGCTATCACCACTCTACCTTGAAGTCAGCAGGTGCATTTGTGAAACACGCACATAATCCTCCAGTCCATACAGCCTTTATCAGGGATAAGGTGTCAGAGTTGAATTCATTTTTTCAGAAGACATCTGCCAGCTATTTATGGAAGTGGTACAATGCTTTGTCTGATCGAAGAAAGAAGGCACCCGTGTCAGATGTTATTCAGTATTGTTATTGTTGTCCCCTTGCCAGTGACAGGGCACCACTGGTGGAGCACCAAAGCCAAGCCATTGTCGAGTTAGATGGCGTTCTGTCGGCCCCTCCCGCCCAGTGTGGCGGTGGTTCGGCCGGTGTCGTGCTGAACAGTGATGAGGAACTCAGTGGGCTGGGCACGGTCAGCGCGTCCGACCCGTCCCGCAGCGGCGAACTGCCGGTGCCTCCCGGCGGCGGCGGCGGCGGCGGCTCGGCTCTGGCCTGGCACGCCGACCTGGCCGCCTACTGCGAGCGGGTTTCGCTGCCACCGGCGCCGCCGCTGCCGTCACCGCCGCCCGAGCAGCCGCGATCGGCCGACGCGGCCGCCGAAGCCGACCTGCAGCATCACCTGTTGGCCGGCCGGCTGACGACAGCACTGGGCGCTGCCGACGCGCTGGCCGCCGCCGGCCGGCCGCCGCGCTTCGCCTCCCTGCTGGAGCTGGCCGAGACGGCGGCGCGCCGCGCCGACCCGGCCGCGTTCGAGCACGCCCGCCGCCTGGCCGCCCGGCTCTATCCAGCCAGTTACAGGGCGGCGGCGCAGCTGCGCCATAGCCAGATGGAGCTGCTGTGGCGACAGCGGCTGTTCGCGCCGGCGGGCGCCCTCCTGTTGCGCTACCACGGGGACTCCAGGAGACGAGGAGGCTCCCACGAACAGCTGCGGCTCTGGCGGCAGCTGATGAGCCGCCGCTTCTCCGTCTGCTGCTGCCTGGCCGCTCACGAGGGCGCCGACGACGCGCTGCCGCACATTAAGGTCCGCGGCGGCCCGCCACGGGGCTAGGTCTGGCCCCGGGCGGCAGTTCCGGTCAGAGCTGGCATTAACAACAGCTGCGATTGGTCATGTGACTGGAATGTGCTGACAGCTATCACGTAAAGCGTCAGAGATGTCATACTCTTACTATTCACCCTATTTTATATCAGCTGGAATGGTTACCCTGAATTCCATTTTAGAATACGTCGCTTTAGTAGAGTTCAGCTCCCCTCGATTCACCTTAGCCTGAACACCGGCGACGGACTGGTCAGTGTCATTTGGCGTACACTGTCGACTTTGATTGTTGAGAGCCGTGAGACTTTTGACGACGCGTCTCTGTCCGGTGCTCTCGTCACCAGCGTGGCGCTTTGCCGGTACCCGGCCGAGCTGGGTGTCTGCGCCGAGCCGTGCCGGCGCTGTCGCCGAGGTCCTGATCTGGCCGTGACGCATCCGCGCGCCGCCGGCAGACGGTCGCCACCGAGGCTCTGTGGCGTGGCTCAGCCGAGCCGCTGCTGGCCGCCTGGCAGCACTGCTTTTTCAGCGAGCGGCACGGCTTCCAACAGCTGGCGCGGCGGCTGCTGCGCCAGCCGACGGCGCGCCGCCAGCTGGAACCGTACGTGCTGCGCGTGGTGGAGGAGGCGCAGCTGGCTGGCCGCGAAGACGTGCTGCGCCGGCTGCCCGAGCAAGCGCTGGCGGTCGGCGAGCCGCACCTCTACCCGCTCGTGTTCGGCGCCCTGCTCGACTATCAGTGTGAGTTCTGGGTGTACCGGTGGGCAGCCCCGTTCATCATTAGCCCTGCGCAGGCCGGCCTATGAGTGCTGAGGTAACTGGGAGCACACGTGTTTGAGAGGTGACTTGGGTCTTTTTTGGTAGGTGTTTGATCACACCATATTTCTCATGTGAGGCTTGAATGCTTGTTATAGACACTTTTCTTTTCCGTAGGCCTCGTGGAGGACGTGAATTCAGCGCAAGAGACTTTCAAGCTGGTGAGTACATTGTCCATACGCCTGCCATCTGCCGTCATTGATCGTTACTTCAGCCTCCTGCAGCGTCACCGTCTGAAGGCGCCAGCCTCGTTGCTACGGATGAAGTACCGGCAGCGTCCGCCAGGTGGCTCTGCTGTACCGCCGGCCCCGCCCGCCTGGTGGGTCAAATGGTGAATTGTTGGCCGCGACGTTGCCACAAGGGGACGCTATTATCCAGAGCTTTCGATGTGGTTGGATGGAGTCGATTGTTGATTGCATGATTGTATTCATTTATGATTGAATCCTGTGGTGAGATAAAAGGCATGGGTGGATGGACGAAAGTCTTGCGTCACTGTTACCGAAAAATGACTTGATAACGCTGGGTGCGCACACTCGCGGTCCCATGGGTTACGTGTCACCCTTCGGCTGAAAAGTAACCAATGCCGAGTGTTCCTTTCACAACACAGATACAGCCGCGGCCGTCGTGTTCCTAGTCCAGCCCTGCCCGCTTTGAGACGGCTTACGATATCGAACGACGCTCGGGACGACTTTCGGCCTTTTGCTGAAGAGCGACCAACTTCCGATGTCCGCAATTACAGCCAGCTAGAGCCCAAATGCGGTGGCGCTGCCTAATTTAATCTGGAGCATCTCATCAGAACACCTAGCGTCCGCTAATGTACTGACCAACAAGGCTTTCGAAGCAATACATTCGGGCACTCCACGTCAGGCGAGGTCGCTTCAAAGCCCACTTCACATCGCCAGCTGGCATCCCGCCCCTCGCGCATGTGTCCCCAAGAAATCTTACAAGCCGACCACAAAGGCACGCTGTGACTGGCGCCTCGGGTACTGTCCGATAGCGATCGGGGGCGGCACAGGCCCCAGGGTGGGCTTGCTCATTCCCGAGACAGCCGGGGTGCAGTGGAGACACTTTCCCGATAAGTGACAGTGACAGATGAGTGGACATACGGAACACGCTCCCGGCGGCCTGCGATCCCGGCAAGGAAACACCGCTCTATGCGCTCCTCGACCGGCACCAGCCAACCACTCATTCAAAGAAGCCTGAGCTAAGCAGATCACGGTCCCGCCGTGTAGTGGAACTTAGCACAGTTTTCATTCGGCGCCCCAAGTTCTCATCTCCGCACCTCTGCTCTTAGCCTGCGCTGAGCCGTGATATTTGCAGAAGAACCCACAGCTTACGGTAGCAGTACTAGAACGCAAACGGTAAAATAGAGAAGTGTATTTCTTACTCGGTGAGGGTGGTTAAAACACCAGGTAGCGCGACAACAATTTGGTGTCCTTAGCTATCCATAACCTTTGCCGACTATTCACCACACGCTAACATAGGACATGCCTCTATAGGACCCAATATTCTGAGAAGCACTTAGATTCGCGTTCGTCTCGTTAAATGAGGGGAGCAACAAGTGAACGTTCGGCAAGGAAGCCCCACCACATTCATACAGCAACATTTCAGAAATGCACTGGTTACAAAGATGTCCCCGACGTTTTATGTCTCATGCATTCCGTGTGATGCTCGCATTCGGCTGTTCCAGTGCGATGCTCGCACCCTACACTTATCGTCACCACAGTGGTGCCTGCCGAAGCCCAGGCACGGGGCGGTACAGCGGGGGTCAAACCAAGGACACGGCGACGCCCCTTCGCCGCAGACATATCCACACGCGACCCACTTCTGTCCGCGTCGGGGAGATTGAGGCCGTGCCGCTCGCTGACCCTCGGCCCGCGCGCCGCGTCGCACACGAGCGGCAAGGCACGGTCTGCAGCGAGACGCTGCCGCGGCGCCGGCGGCGGCTCGGCCCCGCGTCAGTTCCAGTGTCTCGAGGGTCGCGCGCACACCGCGCCGCACGATCTTCTTGAGCCCGCGGTGAGCGGTGCTCGACTTGACGCGGCGTCGGACGGCCGGTCGGTACGCACCCCGGTCAGTAATGACCCTCTGTGGCCGCATCGGCCGCCGGCGGCGCGGTCGGCGCCGGAGCATCGCCGCTGTCCGCTGCCGACTTGCGGTAAAACTGAGTCTGCCGGAACGGGAACACCAGCCCCGACGTCACCAACCAGAGCTCGGCCAGCGCCGCGCTGCCGCAACCGGACACGACACAGCCGTGAGTGCTGGCCCACCCCGCCGGCCACGCGCCGAACAAACGGACACGACACCGCCGTGAGTGCCGGCCCACCCCGCCAGCCAGGCGCCACACAAACGCAATGAAACGCGACGCTTTTGCCTGCTAGCTCCGTGCATCGGCGCTGCATGAGGCACTATATTTTTGTGCGCCCCAACCACGGTTTACGGACTACCGTGAAACTCCTCGTGTTTGAGTGTATTCTTGATCTTGGTAGACCTACTTCGACCTGCATCGATCATTTGGGACCCGTCGGATGACGCATAGGGACAAATGGGGAACACCACCAGGGGTGCAGTTTCCTTTTCAGTTGGGGGGGGGGGGGGGGTTCAGCACTCAGTCCCCGCACCCACACGCTTTCGAAAAGGGTCAAAATCTAGTGAAACTTGTTTGCTGGCATACTTTCGGGGCAAATTGAGTCATTTTTCACTATTCAGCCCGCCCTACTTGGCCTTCAGTCCCCCACTTTGAGAAGAGAATGGTCAAAATCTGGTGTGAAACTTGTTTGTTGGCATATTTTGAAGGCAGGTTGGGTCACTTTCTACTATTCAGCTTCTCACCCCCACACCCGACTCATTTTGCGAAACTACGCCCCTGAACACTACGCTAAACGTGAACATGAACACATATGTGGGTATTGGCCTTGTGCGTCTAACCGAGCACTCCGCACACAAGGGCCCACTCCGTTACTTGGTGCGTCTTGACGTCCCCGTCTAGCCCGTGACCATCTTTACAGCACGGATCAGACAGACATCCTGGGGGCACGGAAGACCATGCCAACGAAGTGGCCACTAGCACAGACCATTTCATAGACGGGTTTGCCACCGGCTCCCTTAGCCGCGTGTGGCCTGCTCACACAAGCGCGCGCGCCGCCTTACAATGTTGGGCTCCTCCTGGGCGGCGGCGTTGCCGTTGGAGACGTCATCATCCGACTCGTCCGACGACGAATCCACCGAGCTCTGGTGCGCCGGACGAATGTCTGCAACAGCCAGCAGAGGCGGCCGTCGGACGCCGCGGCCTGGCTCGGGCGGCGCTGCGACGGCAAGGCCCCAGCGCCGCGCGGCGGCGGAGCGTGACAACCGGGCACCACTCCGTGCATTGAATGCATGACGAGTTGTCACACGTCGGGCGGCGTGACAGCATGGTAACGCCCGGGCGGGGCGACCACGTAGCGATGTGACAAACGAGGCGACGTCGCGACGAACAAGCAGCTGCAGCGCCCGGCAAATCCGGCGATGTCCAGCCCGTGACCTTACCAACGTCAGATGGCTCCGTACTGCCCGCCCGGCTAACCTGGCGATGTCCAGCCCGTGACCTTACCAACGTCAGATGGCTCCATACTGCCCGCCCGGCTAACCTGGCGATGTCCAGCCCGTGACCTTACCAACGTCAGATGGCTCCATACTGCCCGCCCGGCTAACCTGGCGATGTCCAGCCCGAGACCTTACCAACGTCAGATGGCTCCGTACTGCCCGCCTGGCCGACTCGATCAGACATGTCCCTGAAAGTCAGAACCGCAATTGCGCACCACCAGCCCTGCCTCTCATCGGAGCTATGTTATGCCATGTGCATGCGGCTTCCTGGATTTCTCTGTGAGAAAGCCGTGCAATCCCACAATCTAACAATCCAGTCATAGTCACCGACAGGGCCCTCATGTCCACGCTCAACTGAAGACAGCCCACGACCTCAGGGGCGAGTACGACCGGCCACACGGCGCCGAGGGACAGCACAGTACCAGCCGGCAATGTGAACATACAGGAGGCGAAGGCGACGGACGCACGGGCTACGAACACTTAGAAGCCCGTGTTAGCTGTTAGTCACGGGATGACTAACAGTGACAAGCCGACAGTGTCAGGTGGCCTGGCTTCCGGCGCACCGACTTCACGTATGCACCGCATATAACTCAAATCACTGGAATACCGTCCGCATGTAAGCTTCGGAATGCCGCCCTTCGCCACAGCCGTCCTTCAGTATGGTGCACATGCGTGGGATTCACAACATTGCAAGATCAGAACCACCTGTCCCAAACCATGCACGCTCTGCAACACCGTGCCCACATGCTGGAGACGAGAACACCTGTCTCCAGCGTCCACACTCTGAAACACCCGACGCCCACTCTCTGGAACACTCGGTACGCCCCTGCAAAGCCCACACCGGACACAGGCGCGGCCACGCGGCGGCGGCGCCAGCCGGGCCGTCTCACCGAAGCTGTCCCACCAGAGCGAGACCTGCGCCAGGGCGGAGGTGCCGCGCCGCGTCCTGGGGCGGGCGGCCGGCGCCGGCACGGCCGCCGGCCGCGACACTGTGACCGCGCCGCCGGGCACCGGTTCACGTGAGGGCGACGCTTCCCAACACGGACGGCCGCGTGGCGCCGACCAATAACACAGTCACCACGGCAATGTTTACATACAAGAAGCCAAAGCGGCGGACGCGTGGGCGATGGCTAACAATAGCACATCGACAGTGTCAGCAAAACAATGCCGTGACCTACGTATCAGTCGTGACCAAAACAGGGCTGTACTCGGAAAAAGGTGCGTGGAACACATGTTAATAGCGATAATATTGAAAAACAAGTGCATAAACAAAGACATTCAGAGACTTGTGCAAATGCTCGGGACACCGCACATAATGCGACAATATTTGATACCACAGAGGCCACATGGTGTGCTCCCTGCCGTACGCCCCCCCCCCCCCCCCTCCCCCACATCATCACGATACCCCTGTTGGCCCAGAGGTGTTGCGCCTACCTCTGTTGTCGCCCAGTCGGCTGTCGTCCGTCTTGGCGCGGCTCAGCTCATCATAGCAGCTGAGGCAGACTCGCAGCGGCTTGGACGACTGGCTGGGTAGCACCCACTTCTTGTTGGAGCACGGGCCGCACACGACCTTGCCGCATTTCCTGGTGACAGACGCCGGGCGGTCAGGCGTCGGCGCCGGACTGACCAGGCCAACCGATCCAATGACTGGGAAGGCAGCACGCCGCCCGCCATAGCCACAAGGGGAAGGCAACGCCATATAGCCTTGCCAGCCGAGTGCATATATAAGCCCACGGGCAAGACAGGGGTGAGGTGAACCACAACAGCCGAGCGTGGACTTTGCGAGTGTCCATATTAAGTCACAATGTGAACTAACCGGTAGACGACGCAATCACACCTCAAGTCTTCACCGCCGTACGGTCACAGTTGGGAGAAAAGCGACAGCCTGCGCTGAGCACACTCAATACCACGGCGAGGAGGCCGGCTGGCCAGCGCGGTGGCGCCATCTCTGACCTGCAGTGGTGGCGCCGGTTGATCAACGTGAACTGGCTCTTCTTGCAGTGCATGCAGCCGCTGGCCTCCGTGTCGGGCACCCAGACGGCCGCGTGGTCGGTGGCCCCCAGCTTACCGCCTGGCGAAGGCGGCGGCGCCGAGTCGGCGTCACGCACCGAACTACACCCATACTGGCCCATGACGGGACACACTACACCGGCACCTGACGGGACGTAACTACACCCGCCCGTGACAGGACACACTACACCCGCCCGTGACGGGACACACTACACCAGGCCGTGACGGGACACACTACACCGACCCGTGACGGGACACACTGCACCAGTCCGTGATGGGGCACACTACACCCGCCCGTGACGGGACACACTACACCGGCCCGTGACGGGACACACTACACCGACCCGTGACGGGACACTACACCAGGCCGTGATGGGGCACACTACACCCGCCCGTGACGGGACACACTACACCCGCCCGTGACGGGACATACACCAGGCCGTGACGGGGCACACTACACCCGCCCGTGACGGGACACACTACACCAGGCCGTGACGGGACACACTACACCGACCCGTGACGGGACACACTACACCAGGCCGTGATGGGGCACACTACACCCGCCCGTGACGGGACACACTACACCGACCCGTGACGGGACACACTACACCGGCCCGTGACAGGACACACTACATCGGCCCGTGACGGGACACACTACACCAGGCCGTGACGGGACACACTACACCGATCCGTGACGGGACACACTACACCGACCCGTGACAGGACACACTACATCGGCCCGTGACGGGACACACTACACCAGGCCGTGACGGGACACACTACACCAGGCCGTGACGGGACACACTAGACACACTAAACCAGGCCGTGACGGGACACAATACACCGGCCCGTGACGGGACACACTACACCCGGCCGTGACGGGACACACTACACCCGCCCGTGACGGGACACACTACACCCGCCCGTGACGGGACATACTACACCAGGCCGTGACGGGACACACTACACCGACCCGTGACGGGACACACTACACCGGCCCGTGACGGGACACACTACACCGGCCCGTGACGGGACACACTACACCGGCCCGTGACGGGACACACTACACCCGCCCGTGACGGGACACACTACACCGGCCCGTGACGGGACACACTACACCAGGCCGTGATGGGGCACACTACACCCGCCCGTGACGGGACACACTACACCCGCCCGTGACGGGACACACTACACCGACCCGTGACGGGACACACTACACCGGCCCGTGACAGGACACACTACATCGGCCCGTGACGGGACACACTACACCCGGCCGTGACGGGACACACTACACCGACCCGTGACGGGACACACTACACCGACCCGTGACAGAACACACTACATCGGCCCGTGACGGGACACACTACACCAGGCCGTGACGGAACACACTAGACACACTAAACCAGGCCGTGACGGGACACAATACACCGGCCCGTGACGGGACACACTACACCAGGCCGTGACGGGGCACACTACACCCGCCCGTGACGGGACACACTACACCGGCCCGTGACGGGACACACTACACCCGGCCGTGACGGGACACACTACACCCGCCCGTGACGGGACACACTACACCGACCCGTGACGGGACACACTACACCGACCGTGACAGGACACACTACATCGGCCCGTGACGGGACACACTACACCAGGCCGTGACGGGACACACTAGACACACTAAACCAGGCCGTGACGGGACACAATACACCGGCCCGTGACGGGAAACACTACACCAGGCCGTGACGGGACACACTAGACACACTAACCAGGCCGTGACGGGACACAGTACACCAGGCAGTGACGGGACACACTAAACCAGGCCGTGACGGGACACAATACACCGGCCCGTGACGGGACACACTACATCAGGCCGTGACGGGACACACTACACCAGGCCGTGACGGGACACACTACACCGGCCCGTGACGGGACATACTACACCAGGCCGTGACGGGACACACTAGACACACTAAACCAGGCCGTGAAACGGGACACAGTACACCAGGCCAGTGACGGGACAACACTAAACCAGGGCCGTGACGGGACACAATACACCGGCCCGTGACGGGACACAGTACACCAGGCCGTGACGGGACACACTACACCAGGCCGTGACGGGACACACTAAACCAGCCGTACGGGACCAATACACCGGCCCGTGACGGGACACACTACACCAGGCTGTGACGGGACACACTACACCAGGCCGTGACGGGACACACTAGAACACACTACACATCCAGGCCGTGACGGGACACATTAGACACACTAAACCAGGCCGTGACGGGACACAATACACCGGCCCGTGACGGGACAAACACTAAACCAGGCCGTGACGGGACACAGTACACCAGGCAGTGACGGGACACACTAAACGCAGGCCGTGACGGGGACACAATACAACCGGCCCTTGAAGCGGGGACCACTACACCAGGGCCGTGAACGGGACACACTACAAACCAGGCCGTGACGGGACACACTACACCAGGCCGTGACGGGACACACTACACCGGCCCGTGACGGGACACACTAGACACACTAAACCAGGCCGTGACGGGACACAATACACCGGCCCGTGACGGGACACACTAAACCAGGCCGTGACGGGACACAGTACACCAGGCAGTGACGGGACACACTAAACCAGGCCGTGACGGGACACAATACACCGGCCCGTGACGGGACACAATACACCAGGCCGTGACGGGACACACTACACCAGGCCGTGACGGGACACACTAGACACACTAAACCAGGCCGTGACGGGACACACTAAACCAGGCCGTGACGGGACACACTAAACCAGGTGACGGGACACAATACACCGGCCCGTGACGGGACACACTACACCAGGCCGTGACGGGACACACTAGACACACTACACCAGGCCGTGACGGGACACACTAAACCAGGCCGTGACGGGACACAATACACCGGCCCGTGACGGGACACACTACACCAGGCCGTGACGGGACACACTAGACACACTAAACCAGGCCGTGACGGGACACAATACACCGGCCCGTGACGGGACACACTACACCAGGCCGTGACGGGACACACTAGACACACTACACCAGGCCGTGACGGGACACAATACACCGGCCCGTGACGGGACACACTACACCAGGCCGTGACGGGACACACTACACCAGGCCGTGACGGGACACACTACACCAGGCCGTGACGGGACACACTACACCGGCCCGTGACGGGACACACTACACCAGGCCGTGACGGGACACACTAGACACACTAAACCAGGCCGTGACGGGACACAGTACACCAGGCAGTGACGGGACACACTACACCCGCCCGTGACGGGACACACTACACCAGGCCGTGACGGAACACACTAGACACACTAAACCAGGTCGTGACGGGACACAATACACCGGCCCGTGACGGGACACACTACACCAGGCCGTGACGGGACACACTACACCAGGCCGTGACGGGACACACTACACCAGGCCGTGGCGGGACACACTACACCGGCCCGTGACGGGACACACTACACCAGGCCGTGACGGGACACACTAGACACACCAAACCAGGCCGTGACGGGACACAGTACACCAGGCAGTGACGGGACACACTAAACCAGGCCGTGACGGGACACAATACACCGGCCCGTGACGGGACACAGTACACCAGGCCGTGACGGGACACACTAGACACACTAAACCAGGCCGTGACGTGACACAGTACACCAGGCAGTGACGGGACACACTACACCGGCCCGTGACGGGACACACTAGACACACTAACCAGGCCGTGACGTGACACAGTACACCAGGCAGTGACGGGACACACTAAACCAGGCCGTGACGGGACACAATACACCGGCCCGTGACGGGACACACTACACC